GTCGCTGGTGCTTGTGTTGTGCCGCGACGTGCGAGGTAAATGAAGCAATACTGTTGAAAGTGCACATGAAGTTCTTCAAGCGTTGAGCGCAGAATATTATGACCGACCACCAAATGCGCAAGAGCGATGAGACGCTAGAGAAGAATTCCAAAGAAGGAAGCGACGATGGCAGTCGCACCTTCCCGACTCGCAGCATCTACGGAAAGCGCATCCCACTGCGCGCCGTCTTCACAGCAGTCAACACTATTGCATCCGCATGTTTCTGTGGCTTTCGCACTCGATTTCTGAATAAACGCCACTTGTTTCTCACCCCGCGACGTCACATGAAACATGCAGTCTCTCCCATTTCTTCTTCCCCACCGTCACGTCACATCACGCCCATCTACTCGGATCACGATTCCGTCACCCGCATCAACGGCCAGTACCAAGCTTTTCCTTCTTATCAAACTTCTTACACGTCCAACCTCCATCAATCTGCCTTAGCGGATCGTGCCGTCATTCGAAACAATCGCTGGCTTGAAACGAAACGCCAGCCCTGCCAGGCTATCCCAACGGCTACCTAGGTAAATCCGACGCACGCGGCTCGGTAGCCACAACACCAACGCCAGTCCTTCTTTTCGTGCCTCAGGTGCTTCAAGGCATTGAAGTGCCAAGGTGAAGTAGATATGAGGGGTGGACGTCTCCACGATACTACGACTTCTACTGCTTCTTGTAAATGGTCTTTGGGTCTGCCACCGGCTCAATGGCTAATCTAGAGTGTACACTTGAAGAGTAAAGTTCTAGAATGCGTTTAAAGCCGAACTCTCCATCGCGATCCCGGAGTCATCAAGAACTGATTGATTCGTCCAGGCGTATCCATGGGCACACTATACATTATGACGTACTGCATCGGATACATGCACTTGGGGAACGGGTGGACTGTTAGTGCTGACCGCGAGAGTTCACGGTAGATCATATACCCATGTACGCTACTCCGTCGCTTCAGCTACCCATTCTGCAAATAAAGTTAATTATCTTAGGCAGAAGTAAAGATGCGAGAGAGCTTGACCCTGGTCCCCGCTGATGCACTACTCCTGCTAGGAAGAGCCCAAATGAACTATACACTCTACATTCTGAGGGATGCTGTTTCTTTCGCCACGTCCACCAATATGTTATATGAAGATCGAAGTATCAGTCTCCTCAATCGGTACCTTTCAAATGTATTGCACGTCCTCTACGCGATCAATCCCATGCATTACGGACAGATCGAGACCGTCTGCTATTTCACGGTCTCAGCGTCAATTCCTCTGTTTCTCAAGCTGTACACAATAGTCTTGTAATGTACTCAGCACGTCTCCCCGCCATCACTCTGACAAGTTCAGTCATCTTATTATGATACCTGTCTTAAAGATGCTTCTGTGGACAAAGGACAAACAGACTTCACATGAAAAGCGATCACGTAACATACTACAGCATAAGCAATAGCACGTCACTGCAGATGAGAACTAAATGAAAGGCTGCGCAGCGCTTTCCAATTTACAAGAACTCTATCCATAAACGAGCGTAACATCATCTATTCCAACACCAAAATCCAAACATACTTCAGCATGCAACAAAGGTAAGGACAGTGTAAATCATAACTCTTAGTACCCCTCGATCAGCAAGCTTCTCCAGCCATCCAACTAGTCGTCGCTCAGCACTTCCACGTAAGCTGAACGCCGCAATCTGTGGCGAAAGGAGGGCTAACGCGAGAGCACTGAGCGTTAAAACCGCCATCAGCGTTCTCGATCCAGCGTGTATCAGTTCCGCAACCTCTGACAACATCTGCATACGAAGAGAAATTAGCAAATGGATGCGTCTGTGATTTGGGGGTTGTGGGAAGCAGAGGCAGTGCTTACAGCTGAAACCGTTCCTCAGCTTCACCGGGGAGCCGCAATTGGGGTTGACCACCCCACTGCATGAGTTGTCGCCGTAGATCCACATCACTGGCTTGTTTTCAGATTTCTGTTCAACGTGGAGGAGGCCGTCGACTTACGGTTGTTACTATCGTTGTTGCCCAGGGCAATCGTAGCTGTGGCCTGAGAGGCGAAGAGGCCAACGGCTACTGCGATGATGGAGACGGAATGCATGATTGTGATTGAGGGTGGAGATCTTGGTTATCTTGGTGAGAAGTTAAAGTGATGAGGGTGGTGGATACTTGTTGCAATCGACCGTGACTTTATACTGCCAGTTCATCGTCGGGATGTACTTGCTTATACTGCCAGTTCATCGTCGGGATGTACTTGCTGATATCATAGCGTATAGTTGCATCTTGATGCCGTCGCTGCTATCTACAGCAAGCAATACAACACAGAGTGGAAAGCTTCCTAGGTCGTCAATGAGACTTGTTGCATGCTGATGCTGGTGTAGCACTTGTCAATCTTGGTTCACGGGGGGTAAATGGCAAAGCTCGCTGCATTCGCGCTCTCAGCAGATACACTCCGCATTAATGTGGGACAATATACCTTAGGGTTGACATGTACTACGATGCTCGTCTGATATGGCAAGTCCTGAACACTTGGCGTCAGCAGTAATATATCTTCCGGTCTCAACGCGGTCGCTCCGTGCCACTGCCGAAGCGTAGGAATGTTTGTCATTGGGATATCAGAAAGCCAAAATAGGAACCGCAAAACGTGTATATCTATCCAGCAACAATCTCGGTAAGTGCACGTGATGATGGCTGGATACCTGGAGACATGTACTAGGAGTACAAAGCTCACTAATGGACACCAAAACATATATAGGTATTCTGAAAGTAATTGACATCTGAACGTTTGGATAGCAACACATCAATGAACTAAGATACGGTGTATAGACGTGGATTTGTCGTTCTCGAGCGTGGGGCTTTCGTAGGGCGACTGCGCAGAAGCTCACGTTTGGCAAGTTGCAACGAATACTCGGTATAGAAGAACACAGCATCTAACTCTTGGTGAGCCTATTGACTACGAGAGTGGTGAGTACATACACGCGACGCTTGTTGTCTCGTACGACTTTGAATGAGCTGGCTTGTTCGTGTTAGGTACCCAGGTAACCGAGGTTTTTGCTCAACATTGCCCCACTTCTGGCGCGCAAATACTAGCAAAATCCAACAAGAGCAACAGCTCTCAGCTTCATTCCAACCAGGATGTGTCTGTCATAGCTGCAAACGTCTCTTCTTCCTCAAGCAGCTGGAGCAAGCCAGAAGTCTCAATGAAAAAGGGTAATTCGCGTCAGCCTCAGATAGTGCGATAGAGGCGACACTGTGCCAGAGGATATGAGCAAGCCCAGGGATCCTCCGGCTGGTTTCAAAAATAAGAATAATCTTGAAGTTCCCGTAGGAACGTTCTGGGATAATGTTAGCGACGCGTTCTTCGAGCGTAGAGGATGGAGAGAGGAACGTACTCAGAGATTAAACTGAAAAGAACAGATACTACACTTGATCTAAGCCAAAAGGCAAAGAGAGCTAAGGAGCAGAAGGAGGGACGGAGGAGGGTGGGTTTATATATTCGTGGGAAAAGTCTGAAAGGCGCTAGTGCTCTAGCGTTCTGAGGGCGTTGCCTGGGAGATGGTGACGTGGAAAGCCGTAGAAAGACGCAAAGGTGGGCTGTAAATGTGGGACGCGAGAGCGGTGACGGTGGATAGCTCGAGGTGGGGGCTGGCAGAAGAATAACGGCTGCGATTCGATGTCCAAGGGCTGTGATGAGCCGACCTTCCGTTGTGCAATGAACACGAGTCGCAGGTCGAGTTGCATAAGACATGCATAACTGTGTTGCTACAGGCCGATAGATCCAGGCGAGTCCTTGCATAGTTTTGGGAGGGCGATTTGGCTGGAACCGACTAATGCGGCGTGGCGGCCGGCGCATTTCGTATCTAGGCAGCGACGGCGTACTACGATTTCGTCGGTAGAGCGAGCGCACCTCATATAAGGAAAAAAATAAACAGGTACTCTGCCGTCTACGTTAGTGTAAGAGTTGAAGTTCACATATTCTTCGGGGCAATGTAGACTTCTGGGAGGCAGCTGTTCAGTTTTTTTCATGTAGGAGGTGAGCACCATGTCGCTGCTGCTACGTAGGAGGTCCTCTCGAATTCATTTGGGCGACTTTCCCAGGTTCTTCGGGAGGCCCACCTGTATGGCCTGCATACCCGGGTACTTAGGTAAGGTTGGCGAACACAGTACCAAGAGCCAACGTCTTTTTCGAGGTTTCTGTGAGCCGCCATCGTGATGAAGTTGTTGCTTCTGATTTTGGCGTCAGCTATAGAGAGCCGTAAAGGTATGCGCTGGATTGGAAGCTAGCTTGTGATAACAAGTAGAGTGGTAGGCCTATCCACGGTCTGGGATCTTTTGCGGTTATCTGGGTAGGATTTATATCATAAAAAGAACGTCTTCATAGCAATCGACATATGAAAGAGAAGGAAGAGTACGGCAGTACTAGCTGAGGACGCGGTACTCCGCGATCGCGTACCTACACAGATTTGCGGGCGGGCGGCAGCGACACCACCTTGGATAGCCACACGCAGCAACGATCGTATATTGCCACGGATATCTCTTACACGCGCGCTGGATTGGCAACACAACGCTGACGCTTCGGTGTTGTCGGTCTGTCGTTGTTAGCAGAGGATTCTGGTGTGTGTAACCCGCGAAGAGCGGAGCAGACCTATCATGGGAGCAGTACAACACCCCAGTCTGCCGAACGAACAGTCACGACGATGCGCATACCGGTAACTCACATCGTAGAAGGTGAAAGTGAGAGCAGATGGATGCAGGCTTCGTAGGGATGATGATGAGTAGCAACTACCTGGGTAACGCGGTGGAATTGAAGTTCAGGCAGCCACGACTGAGCGCCGCAGGGTCGCAAGTACTGTCTCATTCCAATCAAGGGAAAATCTGAACACCCTGGAGCCTACGTTAATGTTGGCTCTACTAATTTGGCTCTTCATCGCAGTGTATGAAGTAGACTTGTGTCCTGTCGACATCTCATCGTCTTTTCGCACGTCTCACATTTTCACCGCCGACCCCCTCTTCCCCTCTTCTTCTTTCCCCTTCCACCATCATCAGCAGCCTTCCTTTTCTTCGCCTCCTTCGCCTCTTCAATCGCCCTCTTCTTCTCCATCATTTCATCTGTCTTCTCATCGCCGAGCACGACGCGAAAGTCTTCGAAATCGAGGTCAACAAAATCCATCAGCATCCTCTGCGCCAGCCTATCCACGACATGATCTAGCGCTAAACGTTTGAGGACTGGGATCAGCAGCTTCAACTCCTCCATCGTGACACCGCGGTCTCCCTCATTGGAACCGCGAACTGGCGCTATGTTTTTGCGGAATGGGAAGGAATCGCGAATCATTTCGCCGACAGGTATGTCCGGTCTAGAGGCTACTAGTTTCGCTCGCTCGATGGCGGGTTCGAGGACGGTGGTGCTGAATTGTGGAACGAAGGTTTCTGAAGCCCACCCCTCCAAGTCAAAGACTTGGATGAGCAGTTGGACTATCCAGGGGAGATCGTTTAGAAATCCACCAAGGTGGGGGAGAAGAAGGAGTGGAACTTCCTCTCCAAAAGTTTGTGATATGATGACGAGATCTTCAACCTCGTCGTCCTGGACTTTCCCTTTGCGAACCTCTGCCATTGTCGTTGGCGCATGCAGCTTCTTGAGACAGTACTCGCGTATCGCATGCTCAGCTACCGGCACTTGGTGCTGTAGAATCTTTCGCATGGGACTCAAATCATACCGACTGATAGTCATGGAATCTGAGGCTCTCGGCTTGAAAACAATGTTGCAGTAGTGTTGAAAAATCGGCGTCTGGGATCTTGCCGTTGAGTTTGGCTATGTCTTGGAGAAAGGTCTCCATGCTGGCGAAACTTGAGTTGTGGGCCATGGAGCGAAGCGTATTGTCGAGAAACTCGTCATTGAGTTCGCCGCCGTTTTCAAGCAGTGGTAGGCAATCTCTGAGGCTAAGAAAGGTACTGTTAGATACTGTATCGCGGATGATGGAAGCCCGCCAGGTAGCCATGGCAGCTGGTATGCTCGACTGAGCACTCTCACTACAAAGGTTATCAGTACTTCAACTGCCGCGCTAAAGCACTTCATTATCACTTACTCGTCTGCATCTCCAGCTCGGTCGTACGCTGCCTGAACTTTACCACACATCTCCATCTTGTCTTTGATACTGTTCTGGGATTTGATGAACCCGTCCGCCTTCTTCAACTGCTCGACATCTTGTGTCTTGTACAACAAGCGACCTATAGCATCGATGGTCCGATCGGCGCGTACTTGGCGTTGAAAAGAGGCACTGAGCTGTTTCATAGCCTTCTGCCTCAGATCCGCGTGGCCAAACTCGATGCACACAGCGGTCAGCTGGTCCAATACCTCGCCGGGTATCAAGGGAAACCTTGCGCACATGAAAGTATGCCCCTCTTTTCGGTAATCACCTGGATCGTGGTATTCGAGCAAGAGCCTGCAGAGCCTCTGTAGTTGCAGAAGACTAGCCAGGCCTGCGTCGGGTGCTCGCATTTTCTCCGTTGCGTCATCGAGCATTTTGATGATGGGTTCCGCTTTGGCATATTCCCATCCACTGACCATGAAGAGAGCAGCTTCGACTCCTTTGCCTTCGGGACTGAGCATGAAACGCTTACGAATATCAAAGGCGCGAAGGTTGCGCGGAGGAATGATGACGAGCGCAGTCTTGAAATGTCTTTCATCAAGTTAGCTTCAGACCTATAAAAATGGGCTGAACTTACTGGTGAAATAGCTCAGCCTCCATACCACCACCCATCTCTTTCCCTTCAACCTCAGTTTCAATCTGAGCAGTCTCATGTGTGAAGGCTTCCTTCTGGGTGACTTCAGTATCTCGCACGGGTAGTCGCAATGCACGCAACTTTCCCTCCAAGTCAACGACTCGCATCAAGTTTAGCTGGTCGACCCTAATAGTATGATCTTTGGTTGGATCGATCTTGGGACGACTGTTCTCCCATCTCCGTGCACCGCGGATTTCCACGAAGAGATTACAGCCGAGCAGTTTCTTTACGGACGCGAAGAATAATGTGAACTTGAGCTCTTTGCAGACCTTTTTCAGTGTATCAAAGTCCGACGCGTCCTGGTCTTTGAGTGTCGTAGGTAGCTCTGGGAGCTTGTACACGTTTTGAAGTACGTGAACGAGTAGGTGAGGAGAGCGAGTCCCGTCGCCATGGTTTTGCCAGCTTTTGAGCGCCGCAGTCAGGGCCTGTTCTTTCTCGGACTGAGTCTCGAGAGAGAGAGCGGCAATAATTGCATCGTGCAATGTGCGATCCGGGATGATACTGGGCGCCGACATAACGGCGATTTGCGTTGAGAGACTCAGGTCTGGTGATGAACTGGGAGTAGAAGAGTCTCATCAATCGAACCCATATGATTTTCTCGTCTGCGACCGCTTGTTTGCTGTGCGCCAGTGACCGTGCGCTTTGTCCCTGAATGAGCCGATTGATCTAGACATTTGTCAGTCCGCTTATACTTTCACCGTGCCAAGACAATTTGCAGGGTACGTCACTGGTGAGTAAAACGTCTGAGATGATACATGATCCATTGCATTATCCCACTTCATCGCGTATCAACATCTCGCCATCATCCCACAATACCAACATATCTCATACCAATGTGCCCAAACGCCTTGATCGCTATGCATAACCTGTTACCAACACTAACGCCATTACCGATGCTACCACCAATAATTACATAGTACAGATACCATACATCCCTCCCCTGAAGGGAACAGGACGTATAGGGCTTTGCCCATTGCTGCTCTCTATGTACACACGCTGCTCTACTATCTTCCCAACAGTCCGGAAAACCAGTTGGCCAGGTTCTTTCCGCCCATGCTGGGGGTGAAGGAGAGGACACTGTCTGTGTCTCTATCTCTGTCGCTGTCGCTTTGTGAAAGACTGTCTGCGCTGCTACTCTCGGGCGTGTGCGGGTTGGCATCTGACGTCTTCTGCGAGTTGGAATTGGTCACTCTGGGAGAGGCGCGTGGGAAAGTCATGCCGCGTGCACGTACAGGCGATGTACCCGAGCTGGGTTTGTCGCGACCGTGGAAACTGTGAGAAGGCTTGGGTGTGCGATATGAGTGAGAAGTTCTAGGCGTTCCACCTCGTGAGATTGCGAGTCGTGGGCCGAAATTCGAAGGGAGGATCGGCGATGGTGTGTCCGTGTCGCCGGAACAGGATGTTGGTGTAATAGATGTTGGTATATCGCAATGTATTCTAGGCATAATGCTTGGTCGCGTGGGCGGATGTATATCGTCTGTCTCCGATTTCGAAGAGGTATCATCGATTTGTGTTGCGCTAGTCACGACTCTGATGGTTGAGATGAGCGGGTCTGTACTCTCTGTAGAAGTAGAAGGAGACGAAGACGTGGGCGTAGACGTAGATGACACTGCCGCTACTGGTAGGTCCAGCCCCGTAGCTGCGGCAAATCTCATTTGCATCGATAGCGGAACGCCGCCGGTCTTGACCCAGGGGCGGATTGTAAATTGTCTTTTCGGGAGATCTAAGACCACGGATCAGCTCAAATACAGACGGGAAGGCTAGGAATAGATGGCAGGCGTCTAGGCAGGACCACCTTCATCTCCCTTGGCTTCCTCTGCATTCTCTGCTGGAGCTTCCGCTTCTCCGTTTTGGCCATCAGCACCGTCGCCGTTTGGTTCAGCAGCCGCCGCGGCAGCGGCAGCGGCAGCAGCTTCGGCCTCCCTCTGCTGTTTTTCTGCTTTGGCTCTTTGTCTTGCGGCTTCTCGCTCAAAGTTCTCCTTTCGTGCGCGCTCATCTTTTGCTTTGCGGAGGCGCTCTGCTTCCTCGACGCCGCCGCTCTTCTTGAGCTTGCCTTCCTCGACAAAGTTTCCAAGCTCGCGCTTGAACTCGTCATCGTTCCTCGTCTCAAGATCCCGCTGTCGCGCCTTCTCCGCTCGCTCAATGGCTTCGAGCCTGCCTTCATGGTTTGGTTGCAGGGCCTTGACTTCTCCAAGTACTCCATCGCGGGCCTGGCGTGGATCCACAACTTTGTCGAGAGCAACTGCATTGAGCATGTTACGGCCACTAGCTGAACGCATCCCCTTTCCAGACTCTTTCTCGCTTTCCAGATTCTGCTGTTTGGTCGCCTGCTCGACCAGCTCAAGTGTTTGGGCGGCTTTCTCGAGATCATCTTGCAAGTCGGCTGCGAGTTCCTCCTGCATAGTGAGCATGTCTCGCTCTTCACACACAGTCTGCAACTCCTGTTCCCAGATCTTGGTCCAGAGAGGCTTCTCCTTTGCCAGAAGATCTTGCAGCTTCTTGAGCTCGGCAGTGGCTGTCGACAGGTCCTTGGCGGTAGTTTCGAGTTGGCGGGGCAGAGGTCGCACGCCACGCAGAACGACGTCCTTTCTGAGGTCTTCAACAAGATCTTGTAGGTCATCTACCCTGTTGACAATCTTCTCCGAGTCGTCTTGCAGGCCCTTCTTGCCAGCGTTAATGTAAGCGCGACCGCTGTCTCCATCGAGTGCGGGTAAGGCAGCCTTGATAGCAGTGGACTTCACAGCACTGGCCTTTGTGCGTATGGTGGACATGCTAGCTTGTATATCCGATACAAAAGATGAGTATGTTTGTCGCATGACAGCCAAATCACGGCGTAGCGATTGCACCTCGCTTACTTGAGTGGCTGAAGTAATGTTGGCTTCGGAGGGTGTGCCTAACGGTATGGGACGAGAGGGTAGCAGGGCGGAGTTGCGAGCTGAAGAAAGAGGTGCCGCTGATATACCAGCGATCTCCTTTGTCGTTTGCTGTTGACGTTCGGCCACACGTTGTATAGTTGCTTGCTGGTCCTCGACCACTGTCTTGATGCTCTCCACCAGTTTGCTGAGTCCGCCAAACTTGTCATCGATGTGACTCTTTACTTCGTCGAGTTGCTCCACGTTCAGCACAAGTACGGACCTGTCTTTGATATCGTTAATATCCTCCAACTCGTATCGTACACCGGAAACGGGGTCCTGGATGTGGATTTCAGGCAGGTCGCCGTAGCGGTGGGTATCCCAGGCGAACTTTTCGATAAACGCGAGTTGCAGACGGGCCGAGGAAAGCTCAGCACCATCTGTGAAGACGTATTTCTTAATCTTGCTTTTGTACTGGAGAAACAAGGTAAGCTCTTTCCCTTGTTGAGGTGACTGCTCTGGAATGAACTGAGAAGGCTGTGGAGAGGGCGTCTTAACTCTGTAAGAGCTGTTGCGGCTGGCTGTAGGCCTGGGCGGGTCTTCTTTCGCCGGTGATGCGGCTCCAAGCTCAGCTGGCTCTGATAACGGACCATTAAGCGTCGCACCTAGCGAAAACTGGTCGCCTTCTGGGAATTTCGGCTGCGCGAGCTTATCGTCTGGGGTCTTCTGGACGGGGCTGTCTTCAGGACCCGACTCTTTTGGTGGCAGAATGCTCGGCGTGGCGCTTTGCGAACTTTCCTCGGAAATGCGTCTCTCATTGGGCTGATCAAAGGAGAACTTTGTTTCCACAGCAGGCCTCTGTTGCGTGAGACTCTGATTTGACCGCTGGCGACTGTGCATCATGGACTGCCTGGTCCGCACTGCGTTCATGGACTCGCGTACATCCCGACCCCTATTCGGTATGGGCGAATTCTGGACTGGTGGAAGTGGTATGCCATTTGTTCCAAGATGCTTCTGGATTTGGTATGCTGAAAATCGGCGCGAAGCCCTCCGCTCCAGCTCGCCACCTCTTTGCAATGCCGCGAGCGCATCTTCCTGTTTCGGTGGAGGTGGAGGTGGTGGGAAGTCGACGGGGTAGTTAGGCCGCGGGGGGTCAGGTGGTTTGGGCATGGAATCGTCTGCGGGATACGGAGCAATGACAGGCATTTGCTGGGCGGTGCCGCTCGAAATGGACGAGTCGGTGGATAACTGGCTTGCGGTGGTCGAACGGTTCGCTTTCGGGTTCGAAGGGAGGGCATCGTACTTGCTCGGAGAGGCGCGGCCGCCAGCTACCGAAGATGAACGCGGTGGGAGGTCGGGGCCGCCAAATGACGGGCTGTCCCCTCTTGAAGGCAGTCTTGTGCTTGCGGATCGCGGTTGTTGGTGCTCCTCGACATCACCACTACTCCCAACGCTGCCCTGGCGCGGGCTGCCCCCACCGTTGAGCGAGCCATCTCTTCCTGTGCGCTGCCGTAACCGCTGTTGCTTCTTCTTCAGGCCGTGCAGGAGGTTTATGATGATGTCTCGTATCCGCGGCAGGAAATTGTCGAGGCTCGCTTGCGATGCTTCCTGGCTCAGCGTCTCCTCTAGTATGCCACGCAGTAGTTCCGGAACGTTTCCGAGGTCGTTGGTGTCGACGCCGATCGCGTTGAAGGCGCGCGACGCGATGTTGAACTCATAGCCCAGACGCACGTAGACGTCCGAGACCTCGCTCTCGGTGGCGGTCCCGCGCGACCATAGTGTCAACGTCTCTGCACCGTGTTAGCACGTGTGTATGCGGGGCTGCACGCGCCGGGGACGCACCGAGGAGCTGCTTGGTGGCCACAAGCAGGTGTGTGACGGACTTCTCTATCTGCGAGAGCTGCTGCTGGGGCTGCATTGGATGCGGTGTCAGTGACGGTTGTGTGGTGTTGGGCGCGGGATGCGGAGAGAGAGAGAGCCCACGTACATTCTTGGGCGCACGGCGCGAGGACCCCTGAGACGAGCGGACAGAAGACGACTCCTCAGTCATGGTGCCGAGGGCGTGTGGCGCAGGTGTGCGGCAGCAGCAGAGTGAAGGGCCGGACTGGGAGCGCGAGGGCACGACGCTCTATCCTGGCAGTGTTGGCGACCACGTTGGGTGCACCGACGTCTGAGATGCCTGGGGCGAGCTAACACGAGAGTGGCTGGGCGGCACGTGGAGCAGTCTCACGTCCAACCTCACAGAAATTGTTTATTCCATCGTTGAGCCTCTCTACGTCATGACGGACAAGAGAGGTTGCCGTGGTAGTTGGTGAAAGCCGTCTTGATGATTGCATCTCTATCTTGGGCATGCATCTGCGGTTAGCGACAGGCAAAACCATGGAACATGTGACGCCCCGTCGCTTAGGTAGGCTTCTGACGTGAGTCTGCGATGTAGCTGCAGCCCTGGAGACTACGGCCGGCATCCGGCCTCTCTTCGCGCTACCACCTCAAGCTGCTGCTGCTGGGTGGGTGGTGACTGGGGTAACCGTTGTGTGCATGCACTCTAGTACTCTAGCATGCTTGGAGCGCGACGAACAGGTGTTGCCCCGTATTTGGTGATGCAAGCTCTAGTATTGTTTACTGCAGGCGTCTCGGACAACACGAGCAGCGCAGAAGGAGAG